AAAACCTCTGAGAAATAGGCTGTGAGTGCAGGAGGTACCCAGGTAGCTAGGATGGCAGCCCATGCCCTAGGACCAAGACGCACCAGCTTACTTTTGCCTTGTTTACATCTAACTTGCATTATTATTTAATGTTTCTCTTGGTTGATTTATTTTTTGTTTGTAGTTTATGTTACCCCTTTATAGGGGTTTGACCTGCTGCTTATATTTTCTAAGATGATTAAAATAAGTGTTCATCTTTTAGACCGTCTGAAGGACCCTGTTGAATCTGACCACACTTGGGAAACACTGCTGTTGGGTGTGGTAGTCAGAGAGCCTGGGTTTCCAACCCCACCATGTGCTGAGTGACCTGAGCCTCCCTCTGCTACTCTTCCTGAAACCTCCCAGGACTGTACTGAGAATTAGATATGTACAGCTTGGCATGTAACCCATTCTCAGGAAATGCGAGTTCTTTCTCCATGAGACAGCAGTACTGTGGTCAGAATATTTGGAGTGTGTGTGTGTGTGCATGCGTGTGCACACACAGGTGACATAGAACTTCAGGCCAAGTAGAGGCAAGGTAGTAGGTGATTAACCCTAGAGACCCTGGGAAACAGTGTTCAGCTAAGCAGCTACACAGATCCAGTTTTCATTGGAAGAGGAGTCCCATCCTCAGCTGCCTGCCTGTAGAGACCTAACCAGCTCCGCATCCTGCTTGACTTCCAGGGTGTCCAGAGCTCCTTCTCCTATCCCCATTACAGGATAAAGGGTTATCTTGGGAGAGGAAACTGAGATGAGGCAGGCTTCCTGTGCCCAGGCTTATCCAAGTACAGGGCTGTAGCCCTCCTGTTCCCAGTTCTCCTTTAGTGCCAGTCCACAGTAGTATACACCTATAGGCAGGCACTTGTCAGCTACCCCAAAGGTGCCCCAACAGTCACATGGTACATGAGAAAAGAACTGGACCAGGAGAGCTGGAGCATGGGGTGAAGGACTCCTGTTTCTTTAGCCAAGTCACTTCCCTTCTCTGGGCCTCTTTTCCCCATCTAGTAAGTGAAACAATGAGTCATTCCCTCAACAAATACTTATTGAGTGCAGACCATGTGCTGGACACAGTAGGGAATAAGACAGAAGAGGCCTCTGCTCTCAGGAGCTTACATTATGGATTGGGAAACACAATAAACAAACAAATGAACAGGACAATTTCCTAAATGCTGAAATTAAAATAAAGCAAGGCAGTAAGATACAGAGTTGAAGTAAATGAGAGCCAAGTGCCTTTCCAGGCCCCTGTTTGCTCCTAGGGCTCATTTGCTGCAGCTCTGTACCTAAAAGCCTGGACATTCAGGCCACTTGCCCTAAGAAGGTATCTTGCAGGAGCCCTTGCCCTGACTTTGACTTCTTGACTGCCACTGATATCCTTAGCTAGAAGAAATGTTTCTGGAATCTCTGTCCCCAACCCCACAGTCTTGGTCCTAGCCTCATCCGTTGGACAAGACTCAGCCCCACCCACCATTGTAGATATAGGCCTGTTGTGCAAATTGCTCAGGGTAGAATACATTTTACACTAATTTCAGTTGAGCAATCCAGGATTTGAAAAAAGAAAGTCCCAGCTTTGATGTTTAAATATCACTTTTTATAGGTCTACACATGTATCAAAACCCAGCAAATGTACAATTAAGATCTGTGCATGTTGTTGCATGTAGATTTTGCCTGAAAAGAAAAAAAAAGCAAACCAATAATGAACTCGTTAATGAAATGCATTCTGAAGTATTTAGGGGAAAGTGTACTGATATCTTTGAAATGCATGAAAAATAAGATGGATTAATGGATGGGGAATGGCTAGAGGAAGAGATGTGTGATAAAGCAAGTATGGCAAAATGTTAATGGTAGAAGCCAGGTGGTAGATATACAGACGTTCACTGCGAAATTCTTTCTATTTGGTTCTATGTTTGAAAGTTTTAAAATGTTGGGGGAAATATCTGACTAACTGCACACACAAAAAATGTAAACTTGCCTTTAACTTTCAAGCAACTTTCCCTGTGGACAATTCCAATGCTTTTCTACATGACACATACTTTTTATAAAGTAATCACTATGTACAAATTTGTCATCATCATTAAAATTATTTCTCACATTAGCCAGGCGTGGTGGCTCATGCCTGTAATCCCAGCTCTTTGGGAGGCCGGGGTAAGAGGATTGCCTGAGCCCAGGGCTTGGAGATCAACCTTGGCAACTTGGTGAGACCTCATCTCTATAATAAGTAAATAATTAGCTGTGTGGTGACACGCACCTGTGGTTCCAGCTACTTGGAAGGCTGAGGTGGAAAGATCGCCTAAACCCCCCAGGTCAAGGCTGTGGTGGCTGTGAGTGTGCCACTGCACTTCAGCCTGGGTGACAAAGTGAGACTCCAAATTAAAACCAAAAAAAAAAAGTTATTTCTCACAGATTGCTAAAACAGTGTTTAATGTTTGCAAAACACATGAGTAAATGTGCTTGCTGTATGTTACTTCAGGGATGTGGGTTTTTGTTTTTAGTCAGGACCTTGCTCTGTTGCCCAGGCTGGAGTGCTCACCACAGTCTCCAGTCACGGCTCACCAGTCTCCAATTCCTGGGCTCCTGCGTCAGCCTCCCAAGTAGGTGGGATCACAGCCGTAGGAGTTGCATTTGATCCTCTGTGACCTGGGACTCCCAAGTAGCTGGAACCACAGGTGCATGCTAATTTTAAAATTTTTTTGTAGAGACAAGGTTTCACTATGTTGCCTAGGATGGTCTCCAATTCCTGGGCTCAAACAATCCTCCTGCCCCAGCCTCCCAAAGTGCTGGGATTACAGGAGAGAGCCACTATGCCCGGCCTAGGACTTAGGTTTTTTATTGTGTACATTCTAAAAGCACTAGCCAGGCCTCCCTTTCCAGAAAGACTGGCTTGGTAGCAACCCTTTTTCACTGAGGATTAGAAAAGCTGTAAAAGACTTTTTTTTTAAGGCATCAAAGAGCCGTGAGGAACTATGAAGCCAAGAATGGGAAAAAAAAAGCTCAGAATGGTGAGCCCAGCATTGGGGTTCGTTTCCTTTCCTTGGAGGTGTCAGCTGATTCCAAAAGGGAAAGCTGATAGGCTGTGCCAGATTGTGATTCCAAAATCCAGCCACAGTATTTCCAGAACCTTGCTACTCCTCTATCAAAAGTTGAAGTCTACAGCCGGGCTCGGTGGCTCAGCCTGTAATCCCACGCCTTTGGGAGGCTGAGGTGAGTGGATTGCTGAGGCTGAGGTTCGAGACCCGCCTGGGCAGCGAGACCTCATCTCTACAATAAATAAAAAAATCAGCCGGGCATGGTGGCGCATGCCTGTAATACCGGCTACTCGGAAGGCTGAGGCGGAAGGATTGTCAGAGCCCAGCAGGTCGAGGCTGCGGTGGCTGGGAGTGAGACTCCAACTCAAAAAAAAAAAAAAAAGTTGAAGTCTATTCCCCCTTGAAATTGATGGGGGTAGGCCCACGTGACTGCCATAACAAACAAAATGTGGTCGATGTGATACCATGTGACTTCCAGTGCTAGGTTAGGAGGGCAGTCCAGATTCTGCCTGGCTCCCTCTTGGGAGGCTTACCCTTGGGACCCAGCCACCATGTTGTAAGTGCTCTGGCTGACAGCCCTGGCCAAGGTCCCTGACATGTAAGTAAGTAGGCCTTCAGATGATTTCAGTTCCGAGCTGTCAAGTCATCCCAACCTTTGAGTCTTCCAGTGACCCAGACTTGTGGAATAGACACAACCATCCCTGTTGTACCCTTTCCAGATTCTTGATCCACATAATAAATGGTGAGCATAATAAATGGTTGTGTTACATCCTCTTGGAGGGTTTTCACAAACATATTTACAAATCAGGTGGGGGACAAAAATATGTTCTTAGGCCCCAAGCCTCTCACTTTTTTTTTTGAGTTGGAGTCTCACTCTTGTCTTCCTGGCTGGAGTGCAGTGGCACGCTCACAGCAACTGCAGCCTCGACCTACTGTGCTTAGGTGATCCTTCCACCTCAGCCTTCCAAGTAGCTAGAACTATAGACGCACACCCCCACGCCCGGCTAGTTTTTGTGATTTATTTTAGAGACAAGTTCTCACCAAGTTTCCCAGGCTGATTTCGAACCCTTGGGCTCAGGTAATCCTCTCACCTCAGCCTCCCAAAGTGCTGGGATTAGAAGCTGATCCACTGCACCCAGCCTCGCTTTCTTCTTAAAAGCATGGTCAGCTCCAGGGTTGTTAAAGAGGCAAAGTCCTAATGCTTTAGTGAGGTCTGCCCTCCTTCTGGGCTCTGGTTTCTTTCTTTGTCCTCCTTCTTGACAAAAGGGGCAACAAAAAGGAAAAGGCAATGCCCTCAGTGTTGGGTGGGGCCGGGGGTATGAAGCAAAGGTACGCTGGAGTATAGGTAGATCAGAGACAGTGAGGGCAGAGAGCCCAGAAAGCATGCCTACTGACTGGGGGTGAAGCTTCCACTGGGGTCAGGGTGGGGCCAGGGGCCTTGTGTTCATAGATCACCCAAGACTTGCTCACTGCTGTTTGGTGGGCAGGGGTTCCAAGGGTTCCTCCTCCAACCCCAGAGCCTACAGGCAACACACCTCTCAGCAGTCTTCCAGTTCCCACTGCAGTGCAAACGGGCCTTGCCTCGGGCTTCCCTCTCCCAGAGGATCCAATTTCCTCTTCTGTAAAGTGGGGTGGTATTACCCATCTCACAGGGCCCTCAGGAGGACTAAATGAAATAACGGTGGTAAAGGGTTAGCTTGGTTGTGTGTGCATGTGTGAGAGAGAGCTACATTACAATGTGGTTATTGGTTGGTTGGTGCTTAAGTGTTGTACTATCTCTCCCCATGATCTTCCTAGGGACTGTGAGCTGGAGAGAGCTTTCCTTGGTAACTTTGTGAAGAGCTCTTGGAAGTTTGGCTAAAGAAGCCCCCAACTCCAGTTCCAGAGTTTTGCTATGGTGTCTAGATGGTTCTGCCTCGAGTGTGTCTATAGTTAGGCTGGACTGTATAAGACAAGCACTCTAGAGTATTCCAACTTTATTTACAGCCAGACCCTCCTGCTCCCACCAGCTCTGCTCTGGGAGAGGTGCTGGATGAACTGTGACTGGGCTAGGGGAGGAGCCCCTCGCTAAAGAAGATGTGCAGGTGGACTCGTCATTTCTTCTGGGCTTGTGCTCTGGCCCGTTGAATCTTGTCAGCTGTCGCCCCATCTGTGGCTCCAGTACAGTGGGACAATACAAGGCTCAGCTCAGCCTCGTTCCGGTGCTCAATGGCCACGTCTGCAGCCTGAGCCACATCACTATGGTTTGAGCAAGAGGAGAGACGGTGTTGGGGCTGCCCAAGGGCACAAACCCTGCCTCTCATTATCCCACTGGCCACCCAACACCCACAGGGCCCTCAGTCAACGCACCCAACGAGAAGCAAAGCCTTGACTTTGTGCTCAGGACCCACACGGGAAGCATACTTCTTGGCCTCATATTTGTTGTGTTGTTTCATGCAGATTTCCACAAAAGGCTTAGGAGGAGAGGGAGGGCATAGAGGGAGAAGATAAGGCATAGCCCTCCTGTCCTCTCTCTTATGAGCAAAAGTCCAATGGATACATCATTCACATATATTCTACACACCCGTCAGTATGTATAATTCCCCAGCCTCCACACAGACAGTTGTGATCTCAACATTCTTGGGGCAGAAACAACCTAAAGCAAAGCTCTGTTAGAGCCTTGAGACCAATTATTTCCACTTCTGCTCCACCACCCACTGCTACCTCTCACAAAAGATGTTTCCTGCCACCTGCCCTCTCAGGTCCTGTGTTTTTTCTCATGGCTACCATCCTCCAATCTGCCCTCCACACCTCTGACCCACCTGCCATAGAAAAATGAAGCCCCTAATATCGCCACTGCCTCACAGATGTGCCCTTCCTGCCCTCTTCCACTCCAGCTCAAACAGGACTTTTACTCGGGCACATGGTGTCCCCTGTGGCCCTCCTTGGGGAAAGCACTGATTTTCTGCCCCGCAGACCTTGGTCTATCCTCCGGTGCACTCAGCACAGCGGATGATGTCTGCCTATGAATGTGTATATAGGAAGCATGTGCTAACTAACTACGTGGAACAGATGGACAGGAGCATGAATGAACCAGCCTATCTGTCTCCCTGCCTAATCCCCTCACCAGGACTACCCTCGTTGGAAGAGCTACCTCACCAAGTAGCCGATGGGTGATTTCTTGCTCTTGGAAAACTTCTCTAGCTCCTCCCAATCTTCTAAATCTGCCAAGGCAGTCAGCTTCAGCCACCAGAGCCTGTGGGAAAGTGGGGCATGGAGGTATTGCAGGATGGGCAGGTGGTACTGGGACCTACATGCAGCCCAGGCCGTCACCTACCTCTTGTCAGGAATGCGGAAGTCACGTGCCAGCTGCTCTGCGCGCTTGTTGTGACCACCCAGGATGAGGGTGGTGACCGTGTCATGCAGAGACAGGTCTAGGAACTGGCCCTCCAGCTCATCCTCTAGGCGCCGCTGTAACCGCAGGAGCCGCATTTGATCCTCTGTGGCCTGGGGACCCAGATGAGGCAGGTTAGGGATGAGGGATAAGGAGGGGAGACCAGGATGAGGGACAAGGAGAGGAGGAGAAGAGCCTCTTAGAAAAGGGTGCAAGCCCGTAATCCCAATACTTTGGAAGGCCAAGGCGAGTGGATTGCCTGAGCCCAGGGATTTGAGACCAGCCTGGGCAACTTGGTGAGACTTCACCTCTACAGTATAGCAAAAAAATTAGCCAGGCATGGTAGCACGCACCTGTACTTCCAGCTACTTGGAAGGCTGAAGCGGAAGAATTGCCTGAGCCCAGTGGGTTGACACTGGGGTGGCTGTGAGTATGCCACTGCACTCCAGCCTGGGCAACAGAGTAAGACTCTGACTTAAAAAAAAAAAAAAAGAAAGAAAGAAAAGAGTAGGCCAAACCTTGGCTGCAAACTCATTCTTGGCCTTATAGAAGGCGTCGGTGGCTGTCTGCAGAGCTGCTACTCGCCCCTCAATACGCTACAAAGACAAGAAGGGAGACCTGAACTCACAGCATGTAGGACCCTGGCCCTCCCCACCCAGGCTACAGTTTTCTCCTGGATTCCTGTGCCCAGGGTCAGCCTTATCCACTAGGTGCACCGCCCTGGTGTCCTAGTAGGATGGCTAGCTCCTCTGAGACCAACCCCCATCCTGACCTCATGTCTTCTCAGACTCTCCCTAACCACAAGGACTAGATGGGATGTGCACCAAACATGAGGCCTAGATTCCCGGAGTAGGAACCAGTCCAACAGCCCCAGCCCACAAGCCCCACTTGCCCCAAGGACCTCAGACCTCTTCTGCAGCATAGCTGGCTCGGATGTGGAAGCTGCCCAACTCCTGGTGATTGTCATCCTGATTGTAAAGGTCCTTCAGTGTCTCTAGCTCCTGATGCTTACAGAACTGGAGTCACAGGCAGGGGATCAGTCAGCTGGGCCAACTCAAGGGCTCAGGAGGCTACAACCCTAACCCTGCCCACCACACACACCTGCCGGTACAAACTCAGGGCCATGGGCTGGTTTCGAAGGGTCATGAAAAAATCTCCTCGATTCAGCTCATTCTTCAGGTGCAGCAACACCGTAAACACTGGAAGATGATAAGGTGGGGTGGGGACTCTAGCCCAGCACCCTGCTCAGCCTAGGGGCCCAGGCTTGCCCTCACCCAAACCCTACTCACCCAGGTCGGTGTCCCCGCTCTCGATGGCCTTGCTCAATGCCAGTTTGCTCCTCTTCATCTTTAGGAGAAGAGGTACCTGCTCCCCTGAGCGTGGCTCATACTCCAGCAGCTGTGGGGTAGCAAAGAAGGCACAGAGAGAAGGAGCTGGCATGGGGGCCTTACACACCCACATCAGAGTGTCTGGGAAGGGCTGGGCATTCACACCTTGATGGCCAGCTCTGTGCGGCCACAGCCATAGGCCCGTGCAGCAATGTCGGAGTAAGATACGCCAGGTGTGTCCCCGAGCTTCTGGTTAATGGCCCGGGCAACATCCTCATCTGACACATCCTTCTGTTGTACCTGTGGTGGGGTGGGAGGGGTCGCACACACCTGGATGTCATTCCTCACTCCCTACCAGCAAAGGTCTAGATCAGGACCCTCTGCTTTCTATTTCCCCTACCTCCCCAGGGCCTGGAATTCCGCTACCTGCCCTTGGACTCTATCCCACATCCTTGCCTTGTAGCAGGCCCAGTGGGCCAGGATCCTGCTGACACCCTGTACTTCAGGTAGACGCAAGTACTCGCATATCTGGATGGCCAGGGGGTAAAGCCTCCGCAACACAAGCCTGGCAGGCAAGGGAGACACAGGGTAGAAGGAGTGAAGTAGGGGAGAGAGCAAAGAGTGGCCCCAGCTTGGCCTCAGGCCTCCCAAATCCTAAAGAGATGGGACAGGAGCAGTGACCATAAGACCCCACTGAAGACTGTAATGCCCACCCACTGACACCCCTCCTTAGGGCACCTTGGGGCTTGCCGTACCTGTCCAGCAGCACCTGGATGGTGAGCTGCTTGTATCTGTATTTTCCGTGGTTAAGGATCCAGCTTGGGAATACCCTGTCTATCAAGGCCTTACAGACTGCACCTCCAGCCCCTTCCCCTTCCCCTGCCACCCTTTCTGGCATGATGGGGATACTGACTATAGGTGAGGGGGATCCCAATGTGATAGTCCCGAACGGCATTGAGCACGCGCAGGTCCTGACACATGCGCACGAAGCTGTCAGGTGGAAATCTGTCGAGGAAGCACTTTCCAAAGGAGGCTGCCTGAAAAGAGCCATAGGCCAACAGAAGACAGCTTCCTTGCTTCCTATCCCACCCCCTCCCCAGCCCAGCCCTCCCTCAGCCCCTTCCTCCAGGCCAACCCTGAGCAGACTCTTCTGCATGTCTGGCTGGTGCTCGTGTCCTGCCGCCTCAATACACTGCTGCACGGCCTGGGTCAGCTGCCCCAGCTCCTGGATCTCCCGCAGGTACTCATCCGCCTTCTGGCTCTCTTTCTGGGGGTCAAGGGTCCAGGGATGGAGCATCAGAACAGAGTATCATGACAGAAGACACCCCCATGTCTGGACCCTAACTCTTCTGGGCTGCAGTCCAAATGGGCTGGCTTGGAGGGGCTGCACAGGCCAGAGTCCCAACTCCCTCTGCGCACTCAATCCACCTGAGATGCCCACAGACATCATCCCATACCAGCCCACAACTGCCTGTGGGGGCCTTGGGATCTCCTAATAGTAACCCTAACTTTTCCCTGGATGGAGACAGTGGGGAAACCTTGTCTTTTCCTATCACTACAGGAAGAACACAGTATCCCTTCAGTCTACCCAAGCCACCTTCCCCAGCCCAGACCAGTATGCTGCCTGGATCCTTCTCTTGACAAGTGGAACCTGGCTATTTCCATGAAATGTCCAGGCAGGGGCAGGGCAAGAGAATGAGGAGACCATCTGGGATCTGGAGAACAGCTCAGGGCTTTACCTCATACTCCTTCTGGGCCTCCAACAGCAGTGCTCCGGGAGCCATTGAAGCGATTTTGAAGATCTCCTCACTGGCCACTGGGGGAGGGAGTTGGTAAGTGAGGGAGAAAGGCTGGGCTTCAACACCTTGATTCTGTACTGGGGCACTGGCCTAGGACAGCTGGGGCACTGAAGAGCCCCCTCCACCAGTTACATAATAGCCTCATGAGACCCTCACCTGGAACCTCATGTAGGAACTCATGGGTGCTCCGGGAGAAGATGCGGACCCCGTCGAGCTCGGGGACCAGGTAGGAGTCCTCGTCCAGTACAAACCTGAGTTTGGTTAAGGTTCCCAAGAAGACCCAGAGATGGGGCAGGGCAGGTGACTTTTCTCCCCTTCCCCTTTCACCCCACACAGGCAGGCCTCCAAGGATACTGGATGCTCTCTGGTGCATCACCCACCACCATGAGCCGCCTCTCCCAGGCCACCACAATGGCCCTCTCCTTGCTGCGAGGACGGCTGCACCTGTGGGCAGCACCACACACACTTATCTAGGACACACATGGGACACCAAGCCCACAGCCATGTCTTCCACATCACTGCTCACATCCCTTTGTCTCGGGACAGCCCTGCACACTTGTGCCTCTGACTGTAAGCTGACCTGTCCACTCTCCTCTTACCCCTGCACCATCAGCTCCAGAGAGCAGCTGTGGCCCACAGAGGACAATGGCTTCTTTCTTCTTCTTCTTCTTTTTTTTTTGAGTTGGAGTCTCACTCTGTCGCCCAGGCTGGAGTGCAGTGGCACACTCACGGCCACCCCAGCGTCAACCTGCTGGGCTCCAGCGATACTTCTGCCTCAGCCTTCCAAGTTGCTGGAACTACAGGTGTACGCTACCACGCCCAACTAATTTTTTATTTATTGTAGAGACGAGGTCTTGCCAAGTTGCCCGGGCTGGTCTTGAACCTGCGGGTTCAGGCAATCCACTTGCCTCAGCCTCCCAAAGTGCTGGGATTACAGACTGAGCCCCCGAGCCCAGCCAGACGATGGCTTCTTTCAACGTGCACTGGCGAGAAGGTGAGATCCAAGCTCCACTTGGCTTGGTCAGTAGACAGGATGAATTAAGGTATCCCAGGAAACAAGCTATGTCCCACTCCCACACTCAGCATAACACCCCATCCTTACCAGACCATCTGCTTTGGAGGTGCCCGGATGTTGCAGTTGAACTCACACAGCTTCTCCTGAAAGGGTATGAGCAATGAATGTCATGGCCCTGCCCCAGGAGTCTGGCTGAAAAGCCCCTCTTCTACCCCCAACAGAGCTTCCTTGGACAAGGTATGGTACCTCTGTGTTTACCCAGGATCACACCTTGAGTGATGCTGTCCCCATCCAGATGTAGCCTGTGTCTGTGAAGAGTGCCAGGTGTCGGTAAGTGAAGGAGACAGCCATCTGCAGGAAACTGCTCACTCCTGGGACCAGGCCAGGGGGTGTCTGGGGCAGAGCCAGGGAAACACCAGATATGCTTACTTTTCAGAGCCTTCCCATTGCCTCCCAGGCCCCCTCCATTTCCTTCCCACTCAGGGTCCTCACCACTGCAGAGCAGGCTGCATGGTCGAGAAGGTAAAGATCAGGTCCCACAGCCAGAAGAATGTGTGTCACTCGGTCCTGGCACAATGTGGTCCAGCATGAGGGTGCACTCTGCAGACCTGTGGCCAGTGACGGGGACAACCTCAAGATGACCAGAGCCCACTGCTTCTGCCTCCAGCTGGAGGCACATCTGTGGGTACTGTATGACTACCTCAGGGGTATCACGGTACCTGGCACCTCTGGCATCCGGCGGAGTTTGAGGTCACCCACATTGGCACTGAGGGTGAAGCGGTGGGCCCCTGTGAGGATGGCCACCCCGGAACCAAATTCAGTATGAAAGATCCGGGCATCCAGAACCCGGTTCTGGAGCACCTCCTGGGGAAAGGATCATAGGTTGAAGGAGCCACTGGGTCATAAACTCCAACCCCATCCCCCAGTCCTCTGTGGCCCATACATTGCCCATGCTGAAGTGTCTCCGGAAGTCACCATGAAGTCCATAAACTAATACTGCACCGTCTTCCTGCACACAGAGCAGCTCCTCCTCAGCTGACCAACCCAGGGACACCACGGGCCCACTCTTCCACTGCAGAGAGAGGTTCCTGAGCCTATCCTTGGGACAAAGAAGCCCCTTCCAGGAAGCCCCAGTCCCAGGGATAGCCAGGGGTGCTCACCAGTAAGCTAGCCAGAGGTATGCCAGAAGCAGAATATATATCAAGCACTGGTCGCACACTGGCAGCTTTCTCCTTCCGCCAGGGGTTCCTCAGCAGCGCTGCAGATTGAGAAGAGACTTTCTGTCCTAGATCCCCCAGGCCACCCCATGTGAAGCAGGCTTCATAAAAACCACAATTAAAAGGATCTCAGCAGTGTGGGTAGGGGGCAGAAGCAAGAACCTGACAGCGAGGCCTCTAGGAATCAAGGACTTTGAGTTCACCCAAGTGTCCCAGAGAATGTGGTGGTGACGGGGCGACATACCAATGGGGCCCCCATAGGGTGCAGCAGCCACCAGGCAGTCCCTGAGTTCCTCCTTCAGATCCCAGTCCATGCTGTACAGCTCATATTTCCTGCCCACACAGAGACAAATAGAGATTAGCCTCCTCATTACCCTGCATCCAGATGGAATGAGCCCCAGAGGAATCCCTAAAGCCTCCACTTGTCCTCCACAGGGGAGTAGGGGTGGTTTCCACTCTTCCAGAGGCGGGAAGGGAGGTGATGATCAGAAAAGCTAGGCAAACTGACCACATCATGCAGGCAAGGGGGAGAGGGCATTGGCAGGGAAGGATGTGGTCCTTGGGGCAAGTGTCCAAGGATGGCTGGAGCTCCTGAGTCAGGCAGGTGATGTGGCCAATAGATAAGGCACAAGGTGAGATAGAACTAGGGCGGGATGGCTAGCTCAGGTTAGCATTAGCAGAAAATATGACCCTCAGAGAGGTGTCCCAGGGAAAGGAGCCTTTTTTCTATTTCTGGTTCTTATCAATGAATCAGGATGTGGGCTTAATACCCAGGGTCCAGCTTGACACTTGATGATGAACTCAGTTTTAGAGGTACTGAGTTAGTAGTGTCTGAAAGAAATCCAAATGGAGCTTTCCAGTAAGATAGTACTGGGGAGAGTCCTGTGTTGGAGATATCAATCTCTGAATGCTTGGATTACAGGAGGTAACCAAATCACCATCGGGCATGAGATGAATGCAACCTGAAATGTGCATGAATCAGCAAGTATGTGCTCCATGTGAAGCTGGAGTAGAGAGACTGAGGCATGTCACTATTTGATGCTAGGAAGAGGGAAAAGAGGAGAGCAAAAGGGACAAAGAAGGAGTGGGTAGTATTCAGGGATGCCAAGAGATGACAGTGTTTAAGGAGGGTTTTTCAGTCAGTATCATGTCTTAGCCTTCTCATTAGCGATCAGAAGACGCTCCTCATTACCCACCATTTGACATCCCTCTTGGGGTTCCAGAAAAAAACAACTTGAGAAAAAAATAAAGAGATGCCTATATTTTGAAGAAGGAACAAGATTGTTACTATTTGCAAATAATGTGATTATCTACTTAAGAAAATCCCAAGCAGTCTAGGAAACAATGAATAAGCGAGCTGAGTAAGGTGACCAAAAAAATCAACCTATTTTCTATACCAAGATTTTTTTATGCCATAGCAAGAATTAATTAGAAATATAACTTTAAGATCTTAATGAGGTTGGGTACAGTAGCTCATACCTGTAATCCCAACACTTTGGGAGGCCTAGGCAGGAAGATTACTTGAGCCCAGGAGTTTGAGACCAGACTATGCAACACAGTGAGACCTCATTTCTACAAAAAAATTTTAAAAATTAGCTGGGCATGGTGGCATGCACCTGAAGTCCAATTGTGCCACTGCCCTCCAGCCTTGGCAACAGAGTGAGACCCTGGCTTCCAAAAAAGGGGGAGGGGACTAAATATATAACACATAGTATGCCCATGGGGAATATTAAGTGGCCATTAATAAGGCGACTCTGTACTAACACAAAACAAACTCTAAAATATATTAAGCTAAAAAGCCGCAACTCAATATAAGCCATATGAACCCATTTATATAATAAAAAACTGAGCACGTTTTTGACAAGCATATTTACACATAATTACAATTGTGTGTGAATATATAGAAGAACACTCAAGAGATTTCCACACTAAGTTTGAAATAGTGATAACCTTTGGAAAGGGTGGGAGGGGGAGGTACATATTAAAATTGTTCTTTTTTTTTTTTTTTTTGAGTTGGAGTCTCACTCTGTCGCCCAGACTAGAGTGTAATGGCCGCTCCTGGCCACCACAGCCTCGACCTGCTGGGGTCCGGCGATCCTTCCGCCTCAGCCTTCCAAGTAGCTGGAACTACAGAGGCGCGCACCACACCCGGCTAATTTTTTGATTTATTGTAGAGATGAGGTCTCGCCAAGTTGCCCAGACAGGTCTCGAACCCACAGGCTCAAGCAATCCAGTTACCTCAGCCTCCCAAGGCGCGGGATTATAGGCTGAGCCACCGAGCCTGGCTAACTGTTCATTTTTTATACTACGGCATATTCCATTTTATTGCACTTCACTTTATTGCACTTTGCAGATACTATGTTTTTTACCAATGAGGATTTGTAGCAACCATGCATCAGGCAAGTCTATCAGCCATCTTTCCAACAGCATGTGCTCACTTCATGTCTCTATGTCACATCTTGGTAATTCTTGCAATATTACAAACTATTTCATCGTTATTATATCTGTTATGGTGATCTGTGATCAGTGATGCTACTACTGTAATTGTTTTGGAGCGCCACAAACAGCATCCATGTAAGACAGCAAACTTAATGAATAAATGTTGTGTGTGTTCTGATTGCTCCACCAACTGGCTATTCCCTTATCCTCTCTCCCTTTCCTCGGGCCTGTCTATTCCCTGAGACACACAGTATTGAAATTAGGATGATTACAAACCTTATAAAGGCCTCTAAGTGTTCAAAGAAAAAGTGGCAAATCTCTCACTGTAAATCAAAAGCTAGAAATGATGAGGCTTGATGAGGAAGGCATGTTGAAAGCCAAGAGAGGCCGGAAGTGAAGTCTCTTGTGCCAAATAGTTAGCCAAGCTGTAAATGCAAAGGAAAAGCTCTTGAGGGAAATTAAAAGTGCTATTCCAGTGAACACACACACAATAAGCAAAGCAGCCTCATTGTTGATATGAAGAAAGTTTGGTCTAGATAGAAGAATAAACCAGCCACAATATACCCTTAAGTCAAAACCTAAACCAGAGCAAGGCTCCAACTCTCTACAATTCTATGAAGGCTCAGAGAGGTGAGGAAGTTGCAGAAGAAAAGCCTCAAGTTAGGAGAGGCTGGTTCATATGGAAGCTTTCTCCATATCAGTAATAAGGCTGTTTTGCTTTCTTATACATGTGTATCCACTATAGTAACACTTTTAATTTCCTTAAGGAAAGAAGCCATCCCCATAACACAAAAATGCAAGATGAAGAAATAAGTGCTGACGTAAAAGCTGCAGCAAGTTATCCACAAGATCTAGCTAAGATTATTGGTGAAGGTGGCCACACTAAACATCAGATTTTCAATGCAGATGAAACAGCCTTCTACTGGAAGATGTCACTTAGGATTTTCATAGTTAGAGAGGAGAAGTCAGTGCCTGGATTAAAAACTTCAAAGGACAGGCTGAATCTCTTGTCAGGGGCTAATGCAGTTGATAACTTTAAGTTGAAGCCAATACTCACTTATGGTTCCTAAAATCCTAGGGCCCTTAAGAATTATGCTAAATCTACTCACCTGTGCTCCATAAATGAAACAGCAAAGCCTGGATGACAGCATATCTGTTTACAGCATTGTTTACTGAATATATTAAGTCTATTGTTGAGACCTACTGTTCAGAAAAAAAGATTTCTTTCAAGATGTTTCCACTCACTGACAATGTACCTAGCCACCCAAAAACTCTGATGTAGACAAGGAGATTAATGTTGCCCTTTTTTTTTTGAGTTGGAGTCTCACTCTGTTGCCTAGGCTGGAGTGTGGTGACACGCTCATGGTCACCACAGTCTCGACCCGCTGGGCTCAGGTGATCCTTCTGCCTCAGTCTTCCAAGTAGATGGAACCACAGGCATGCGACACCATGCCTGGCTAATTTTTTGATTTATTGTAGAGACGAGGTCTCACCAAGTTGCCCAGGCTGGTCTCGAATCCCTGGGCTCAGGCAATCCTCTCGCCTCAGTCTCCCAAAGTGCTGGGATTACAGGCGTGAGCCACCATGACCAGCCTTTTGTTGCTTTTATGACTGATATCACAACATCCATTTTGTAGCCCATGGATCAAGAAGTAATTCTGATTTTCAAGTCTTATTGCTTAAGAAATAAATTTCATAAGGCTATAGCTGCCACAGATAGTTATTCCTTTGATGTATATGGGCAAAGTAAATTGAAAACCTTCTGGAAAGGATTCACCATTCTAGATTCACCATTCTAGATATGCATTAAGAACATTTATGATTCATGGAAGGATGTGAGAATATCAACATGAATAGAAGTCTGGAAGAAGTTGATTCTAACCCCCCTGGACAACTCAGAGGGGTACAAGACTTCAGTGGAAAAAGTTATTGCAGATGTGATGAAACAGAATTAGAACTTTAAATTAGAGGTACAGTCTAAAGATGTGACTGAATTGCTACAATTTCATGAATGGAGAAGTTGCTTTTTATGGATGAGTAGTGGTTTCTTTGGATGGAATCTACTCCTGGTGAAGATTCTATGAACATTGTTGAAATGACAACAAAGGATTTAAAATACTATATTAACTGAGTTGATAAAGCAGCAGCAAAGTTTAAGAGAATCGACTCCAATTTTGAAGAAAGTTCTACTGTGGGTAAAATGCTGTGAACCTGCATTGCATGCTACAGATAAATCTTTCATGAAAGGAAGAGTCAATTGATGTGGCAAATTTCATTGTTGACTTATTTTAAGAAATTGCCACAGCCACCTCAACCTTCAGCAACCACCTTCCTGGTTAGTCAGCAGCCATCATCAAGGCAAGATCCTTCACCAGCAAAAAGATTACAGCTCACAGAAGGCTCATGTGATCATCTGCATTTTTACCAATAAAGTATTTTAAAATTAAGATGTATATACATTTGCTTAGACATAATGCTACTGCATTATATGTGTAATATTTAACACACTAAGTATAGTGTAAGTATAACTTTTGTATGCACTGGAAAACTGAAAAATTCGTATGACTTGTATTGCAATATTCAGTTTATTGCAGTGGACTGGAATCAAACCCACAATATCTCTGAAGTGTTTTTGTATATACTATGGCATTGTTTGAATTATTTACAACCCATATGCATTTCTTTTGAGATTTTTATAACTAAAATCAATGAGTGAAAAAAATCTGATGGGAACAGATATTCATACAGATCTAGCACGCCAATTATCAATGTATTACCTCTCTGCTCCAAATTCATCATGTGTTTTGTGATAACCATCAGCATTTCTCCTTTATAGTGAGCATGTTAAGCTTTCTCAGCAGAGGGCGCTGGAGAGACACTGCACTAGGAAGGGG